ATCATCTCTCTTTGTAACTCCACCTCTGTGCCATAGCAGTCACCGATTTAAAATTGTCAATTTTCTTCATTTTATAGTGTTTTTTTTTTTTGGTACAAACTGAGCAATTCCTTTTCCATTAATGTTTTTGTTTGTCACATATTATATCAAAATGCTCAAGAGTAACTTGCTCACCCTTCACCCATTCCATAAAGACTTTTAATGCCAGTCATTTAATTGTTCTGCATCCCCTTGTTGCTTAAATAATCTTTTGTAAATTCTAGTTGGAATTTGAACCTTTGTTGTCATTTTCTTTTTCTTCTTGAATACTGCTCATAAAGCCAGAGTATATACATCAAGGCAGTTCAATGGAATAAACACGTATTAAGTGTCTACTTTGTGTCAGGCACTGTGCTTGGTGTTAGGAGTAGAGCACCGCACCAAGTAGACACAGTACCTGTCATTTGGGGGTTCAGAGTTTAATGGAGAAGACAGTAGCATACAGGTAATTAAGGATGTGCTATGCATCCAAAAAAAAAAAAAAAGAGCAAGTAAATGTTGTATCGGAGGGTAAGAAGATATAAAGCAACCTAGAGGTCAAGGAAGGCCTACCAGAAGAAGTTATGCTTAAGCTGAGGTTTGAAGAATTAGTAGGAGTGACCAGGTGTAGCCTCTGGTGATGGTAATGACCACACCTTACATTTCTCCACTACCCCACCCCCCAACAGTGTGGCAGTAAAACATCGATCCCTGCATCCCTGCAGGTGACAATACAAGTTTTTCACTGAATTGTGGCTGGCAGTAGGATGGGCAGGATGAGGATTCTAGTCTTCTGAGCTGTGTCACCTGGTATTTTTGTAAGTTTCCAGTGTGCTTTTTTTACAACATCAATTTTACAAACAAAAAGGTATTCAACCACTTGCCAAACCTGAATTTACCTTCATCTCCTAGATTTGGGGTGCACTTCATTCTCTGAATCAGGTGACGGGAGGTACTGCACTAAGTAGCCAGCCCTTTTCCCAACCATATTTCCTCCTAGTACTTCACAATTGTGGGCATCATTATCACTACCCTAGATCTTAGAGCAGCTTCTAGCGCCATCTACTGGAATTGTGCCTGCGACCCAGGAGGAAAAGTCCAAGTAGTTTTTTTTTTTAAAAAATTTATTTAAATTCAATTAGCCAACATATAGTACATCATTAGTTTCAGATGTAGTGTTCTCTACACTCAAGGAACTGACAGTCTAATGGGAAGGCATATGCTGGAAGAGCATACTCTTGGGCATTAGCATAAAACATGTGAGCATTGGACATCCACTCGGTAACTACTGAGAACCACTATGTGCAAAGCACTGTGTCTAACTTCACTAAGCTTGTGTTTTCACAGAGCAAACCTAACCCATTTTAATATACTGTTATTTATAGCTTCCTGGATTATCAAATTATTAGATTTGAAGACAGAGGGTTCAGCATATATAGTTCAGAAGTTGGCAAGATGTCAGTCATCTGAAAAGCTGCACAATTTTCCTACCTGTCTTTACTTACATTTGCCCCTCCCAAGGTCATTTGAACTTCTGCTAAACACATATTAGGCATCAGGTAAATTTTTGTTGAATGAATGACCAACCATACTGCTTGAAAGGAATTGTATAAACTCAAATACAGAATCAAGAAACAAGAACAGTTTTGTCACTACCATGATTTCAGAAAGTGAGACTGGCAAAGATGAACACGCTGGACGATATGAGGGGCAATAGTCACAAACCATATTCCACTACCTGTCACCATCAATGAGGAAATTCATACAGCACTAAGGAAAAGACGCATTTGGTAGATCCAACTTGGATGACTTGGAATGATGGGAGCAAATCTTCACCTCAGGTACTATGATAAGAAACTCACTGTTTGCATGCCTTCTGGTAGACTCTACAGCAGGTAGGGAGTGAATTTACCATTATGTTTGTGAGTATATGCGTTGACATGGATTTCCTCATTCTATTGAGGGGAAAAAAATACAAGCCTCTTCTTTGAGTAGGAAAAAAAGATAGGAGTCTTCCCTTTAGTTAAAAAGAAACTATGAAACAAATCACTTAAATAAGAATGCTTTACTGGGGCGCCTGGGTGGCTCAGTGGGTTAAGCATCCGCCTACAGCTTAGGTCATGATCCCAGGGGCTTGGGATTGAGCCCCACATCAGGCTCCCTGTTCATGGGGAGTCTGCTTCTCCCTCTGCCCCTCCCCCTGCTCGTGTTCCCTCTCTCTCTCAAATAAATGAACAAATCTTTTTTTAAAAAAAGAATGCTTTATTCTTTGTGCTGGCAAGAAAAATAAAGAATACAGAATATTTACTTCTTGGGGAGCTAAATAAGAAAATCTACCTGCTGATCAATGAAATTGAGGCAAAAGCATCAAATATTATTAACAATTATGTTCTCCTCATAAGTGACAAATCTCTCTTCTGTTTTCTTAGTTTTCTTTTTTTTAATTTTTTTTTTGTTGTTGTTTATTTATGATAGTCACAGAGAGAGAGAGAAAGGCAGAGACACAAACAGAGGGAGAAGCAGGCTCCATGCACCGGGAGCCCGACGTGGGATTCGATCCCGGATCTCCAGGATCGCGCCCTGGGCCAAAGGCAGGCGCCAAACCACTGCGCCACCCAGGGATCCCTGTTTTCTTAGTTTTCAATCTAAAGAGACAATAATGCTTACTAAATCGTTTTACTCATGAAGCCTATCTTAACCCATCTAAAATGTGAACATATATGATTCTATAGACATAGATGTTTATAGACATTGAGGTTTGTGAAACAGGTTTTTTGTAATCATGGCCAATTATAATACATAGAGTAGGTGATGCTGATAGGATATAAATTATACCTGTTGTTAATCTCTTCAGACAGGAATTAACTTAAGTTGAACTTGCTATTTTGTTCTTTCCTGACTTAAACTGAATCCTTTAAGAATGACAAAAAAATCCAATTAGCCAAATCAAATAAATGGGTTTTCAAAAGCCTGCAAACTTGAAACCCTATATAGTTATGTGCTTTTCAAGCCTTATTCTGCAGAGTTCCTGAAGTTGGTCATAAAGAATTCACAAGTAGGACTAAGCTGGGGTAGTACTGCTACTTCTGCAAATATGGGGAGGACATTTTTCAACTTATTTCAATCAATAATAACCAATTACCATGTATTTAGACATAAGTACTGTGCTAGCTGCTTTGCATTTATTTAATCTTTACAGAACCCCATGAGACAGCCATTATCCCTGCTTTACAGATGAAGAAGAAAGTAGAATGGCTACTTGCCACACATACTGTGGTTGATGATGGTACACCACCCCAATAGCTCCTGCCTTGCCTCTGAATTTTGGCCTCAATAGCAAATGCCCAAATTTAATTATCAAACAGTAATCAAACTCTTAGTTGTCCGTGGTAAAAAGTTACTGGAAACAATTGTCCTCAGATAGTACAATTGAAGATAATTTGGACAATCCTTCCTAACATACAAAGGTAAAAAGAAGCCTAGGTGAGGGTCACATAAAAGTCAATGCCACCCAATTATGTTCTCCCTCTTTTCAAAAGCAGAAAATCACCCCAAATGCTTCTTAAGTCTTTTGTTAACTTTTGCTTTACTTTTCAATCCTGTAACAATACAAAATGACGTAACTGCCTCACCAGTATCAGGCATACTACAATCATGAGAGAAGAAATATTCCCCATGCAATTCAGTTATCTGCCAGCTACAGCCCTTTGCAGCAGCTCTAATGAACCCTTTCTGGCTCTACATTCCTAATCTGTATTTCCACATAGTCTTCATAAAATATAGTTTGAATCCAAAAATGAGACTAGAAATCCTGAGCAATTCAGGAGTCTCAACCTCCCTACACATCTACTCCTTGCACTGGCAGGAAAAAATAGGGGCTAGGAGCATAGGAAATAACTTAATGCTTGACAAATCCTCATTCCCACTGGACAAACAGGGAAGATCCACACAGCCCGTTAAGTCAGGAGGCAAAAGAAAACCATCAAGACTGGAACTAAGGAATCTCAATAGCAAACTGTCCCTGCACACTGGCTCAGATGCAGAGGGTTAATTATTAGAAAAAGAACCCAGGATCTGATCTAACCAAGAATTATGTAATGAGAAAACTAAGGGAAAAGACTATTGGTCAAAAATTCTTAAAACAGAATTCAAGAATTCTACCTCTTAATCTGGTTTTGGCCAAGACCATGGGATCATATCACTAGATTACCAAGACAGCTGAACATAAGACATACAAGCATTAGGATGGGCCAATCTCTCAACCAAGTACCTCTATCCCATTTCTACTCTACATTGCAATTCCTCTTGGAAAGCAGAAACCTCATAGCACATTTCCTACAGTCTTATAAGAAATCTTTATGAGTCTGCCAAGAATAATCATCTTGAGGGATGCCTGGGTGGCTCGGTGGTTGAGTAACTGCCTTCGGCTCATAGTGTGATAACCCTGGGATCAGATCCCACATCGGGCTCCCTGCAGGGAGCCTGCTTCTACCTCTGCCTATGTCTCTGCCTCTCTCTGTCTCATTAATAAATAAAAAAAATCTTTTTAAAAAGAGTAATAACCTTAAAAGAAGGAACTTTATATGATATCCCATACAGCAGCAGCCACCAGGTATGTGTGGCTCTTGAGTGCTTGAGTGGTTAGGGCAACTAAGGAACCAGATTTTAAATTTCATATGATCTTAATATAAATTTACTTAAATATCCACATGTGGCTAGTGACTATTGTATTAGACAATACAGTTCTAAATTCAATGGTTTATTTTCAGCAAATAAAAATGCATTTAAAAACTGAGTCTTGGGCAGCCCGGGTGGCTCAGCAGTTTAGCACCGTCTTCAGCCCAGGGCATGATACTGGAGACCCGGGATCAAGTCCCATGTCAGGCTCCCTCCATGGAGCCTGCTTCTCCCTCTGCCTCTCTGTGTCTCATGAATAAATAAAATCTTAAAAAAAAAAAAAAAAAAACACACTGAGTCTTGGGCAGTCTGGATGGCCCAGCAGTTTAGCGCCACCTTCAGCCCAGGGCATAATCCTGGACACCCGGATCGAGCCCCACGTAGGCTCCCTGCATGGAGCCTGCTTCTCCCTCTACCTGTGTCTCTGCCTTTCTGTGTCTCTCGTGAATAAATAAAATCGTTAAAAAAATAAAAAAACTGAGTCTTTTCTTAAGACCTACCAAAACAGCCAAGAAATCACATTAATTGTTCAAAAAGAATTTTTCTCTGGATAAATCCCTGAGGCCAGTAACAAATTATTGCCACCCAATCAGGCAAGAGGAAATAGGGAAATTCAATGACTAGCTCAGCTTCAAGCTCTCAGATGTCCTTATTTCCAGGAATTCTCTTTATATTTTCCTTTCAAGCTATTCCAATTTTACCTTAATCAAAAAACATTTCTTCTCATTCGTTGGCAGCATCTCTCACTGGGCAGATGTAATGAACAGGGGACCAGGGCCTTCACATTCTCTAACCTGGGAGGTTAACTTTTTTCAGACATTATGGCAAACACACCAAAGAAACTTCGCAGCAACACCTTAATTGTAATGGTCCAGTAAGAAAAGGAAAAAATAAATAAATAAACAGGCTTTGGGACTCAAGAGGAAGATGGGTTTGGGACCGAAAAAGAGATGAGGGCTATTTCCCCTGGACAGTTTTTCCAGGTCCACCCATGAGGAAAAGCTTCAACTTCAGGAGACTCAAAAGACTTTTCTATGTGAGTTTTCCGATGCTGATTGAGATAGGCACTTCTGCTGAAGCATTTCTCACAATCACTGCATTTGTAAGGTTTTTCTCCCATGTGAGTTCTCCGGTGCCTGATAAGATTAAAGCTCTGACTGAAGCACTCACCACACTCAGGACACTTGTACGGTCTCTCTCCTGTGTGTGTCCTTTGGTGAATCACCAGGGTGGAGCTCTGACTAAAAGTCTTCCAACACTCTGAACACCTGTAAGGTTTTTCTCCCGTGTGTGTTCTCTGATGTCTAATAAGATGGGAGCTGAGGCCAAAACGCTTTCCACATTCGCAACATTTGTATGGCTTCTCCCCAGGCTGGATTCTGCAGTCTTCTATCACACTACAGTTCTGACTCAAACTTTCTTCATATTCAGAACTTTCATAGGGCTTTCCTCCTGCATGGGTTTTCCGGTGTGTGATTAGGTTGGAACTTCGACTGAAACTCTTCCCGCATTCTGTACACTGATATGGTTTTTCTCCAGTATGAATTCGCTGATGCTTTATGAGAGTCGAATTACAACCAAAGCTTTTTCCACACTCAAAACATTTGTAGGGTTTCTCGCCTGTGTGTGTCCGCTGGTGGCGAATCAGGCTAGAACTCTGACTAAAACTCTTTCCACAGTCAGGGCACTTATAAGGTTTTTCTCCAGTGTGAATCCTCTGATGTTCTATCAGGACATAACTGTGGCTGAAGCATTTCCCACAAACAGGACATTCATATGGTTTTTCACCAGTATGTGATCTGTGGTGCTGAATAAGGTGGGAGCTGCTACTAAAGCTCTTTCCACACTCAGGACATTTATAGGGTTTCTCTCCCGTGTGAGTCCTCTCATGGATAATTAGATGGGAGGTATTGCTGAAGCTTTTCCCACATTCAGCACACTGGTAGGGCTTCTCTCCTGTGTGTGTTCGCAGATGTTGAATCAGGTGAGAGCTGTTACTGAAGCATTTCCCACACTCAGAGCATTTATAAGGTTTTTCTCCTGAGTGGGTCCTCTGGTGAATACGCAAATGGGAACTGTTGTTGAAGCTTTTCCAACATTCAGAACATGTATAGGGTTTGTCTTTGAAGGTTGAATTCTGCTGGACAGAGGCACTGCAGTGTTCCCCTGGGTCCCATCCCCAGTGACTGGGTTTTTCTTCTTTTCCTGTAGAATTTCCCTGATTCTCTGACTTGCCATCATTCTCACGGGAATCATTACACCAGATCTCATTTCCTTGGGACCATGTCAATGGAATTTCTTTTGTATCCTCATGCTTACAATTTTGCAGACCATCTCCTTTAGACCATTTTGAGGCTTTCTCTTTCTCTGCCTTGGAGTTATGGTGTTGAACAGTTTCCAAATTATTCTTACTTTCACCTCCTGTAAGAATAAACAAATATTCTAAACATATTCCCTAGTCTCTACCAGGGAAAGAAATTCTGGATTGCAGTGGAAGGGAAGGAATAACAAAGTAAAAACTTAAAAATTCTTTTATATTAAAAAAGTGTTTAAAGCTAGTTTTACTTTTTCTACTGTTGATTAGAAGCAGGTGAATTTTTTTGTGCTTAATAACAGTAAGGAAGTATTTAAACAGCTGTCAGCAATTGCCAAAGGGGATTACTGATCTAAAAACATTAAGCTTTATTCTAGAAGACTTAAAAAAGGGGATCTGAGTAGGGGAGAAACTGAATAAGACACATTCTAAAGTGAAAACTTGGCAATACTTTACTTAAAATCTGAGAAAATACAGAAATAACAATGATACCTACTATTTATTAAGAACAATAGCTTGGCATATAGTATCTCATTAATCCTAAAAAATAGGAGACAGGTATTTATTTTTCTTAAAGATAAGAAAATTGAGGTTATAAAAGTTAACATAGCTTGTAAGCAACAGAGCAGGAATCAAATTAAAGTTTGTCCCATTCAAATTTCCTGTTCTTTCTACACAACCTATAGCACTCCATGGTACATCTTACATTGAATTTCCAGTGGATTCAGATAATCTTCTTGATCCCTCACCTGTAAAAGGGCTTTTCAAACTCTCCCTCTCCTGGAAGCCACTAGAATCTGAGACCAACAGTTTTTGCTCTTGCTCCATCAGTGGTCACAGCCAAGGTGGGGATCAGAAACCCTGTGGAAGGAAACAGGTTATGCTTGGGACCTTGGCTAAAATGTATTCTTTCTCCTCCCCAACCATTGCAACCTAACAACCAGAGGCACAAAATGTTTTGTGCACCAGACTGAAAAAAAGAAACACGGTCTTTATAAGACTTTTTGGAAAGAAATCTTATCTCAGATGCAACTGTTCTGCATTAAGGGTTAACCCAATTTACTTCTTCTAAGGAAATAACAATAAAAAAAATTAAATCTTAACATTCAAGTCTGAGGCACAAACTTCAAAAACAGAATAAACACTAATACTCATTGTTTACTCAGAAACACTTTTAATTGAAAAAACCAAGGTATTTTTTGGGAAAGGTAACAATAACAAGATAAAAAAGAAAAAGAAAAGGGATATGAGGGTATAAGAAGCAGCTAAAGAGAAAGCATAAGAAAGAATAAACTGACCCTTGACAGAGGATGAAACATTTGAACTTCAATTTCAAAAGAAAGTTAGAATTTATATAACCAGTAAAAAAAAAAGAAAAAAAAGAAAGGAAAGGAAAAAGAAAAAGGATAGGATAGGGATCCCTGGGTGGCGCAGTGGTTTGGCGTCTGCCTTTGGCCCAGGGCGCGATCCTGGAGACCCGGGATCGAATCCCACATCGGGCTCCCGGTGCATGGAGCCTGCTTCTCCCTCTGCCTATGTCTCTGCCTCTCTCTCTCTCTCTCTCTGTGACTATCATAAATAAAAAAATAAATAAAAATTTAAAAAAAAAAAGGATAGGATAAAGCAGAGCTAGAATGATTATAGCCGATAACCTCTAAATATAAAAGGGAAGCTAATGAGGGAGCTCTTCCTTGACTCTTTGTCTATTATAATCACAATATCCCTTTTAGGCTACACTTCATCTTCTGGAGCCAATTACAATTTTTGACCTACTATTAGGGGCTGATCTATCACTGGAAAGTAGGTATATGTGTAATTGCAATCCATTTCAGGATATAGAGAACGGCATTATTTGGGAAAAACAAAAGCCTCAAATAAGGATGGCACACATGGAAAACAAACAAACAAATCTGGTTTTGGAAGAATATTTTAAAAGGTGTAACTTTCACTTTACCACTGCCTATTATGTGCCAGGAAGTGAGCTAAATACACATATTTCTCATTTGATTTTTACAATAGCCCTTGGAGGTCTATGACCAATTACCCGCACATAGATGAAAAAAGACATTAAGAAACTTTCCCAACGTCACACAACCAGAAAGTAGCAGAGCCGACTTCAGTCCCAAGCCTGTTCTGATGCGGACTTTCACACTCTAATCCACTGCAGTAAACCAGAGCAGGAAGCGGAGCTGGACATAAGCCTAAATAAACCGCAAATAAATCTCAAAGAGGACCTTTATTTTGAAAAACATTAACTGGATTTAAAAAAAAAAAAAGATTTGCATCTATAGACGTGATACCAAACGGAGCTGGCATTCCCTAAGCACCCGCAGCAACTACGGATTTGTTACAGGAAAAGATAGAACTAGTCTAAATTACAAATAGCCCTAGTATGGGGGGGGGGGGGACCCACATACCTAAAAGGGGCAAAAAAAAAAAAAAAAAAAAAGGAAAATTGTTCACAGGGAGCACTATGTTTTGCTCTCTGAGTTATCTAGTTCCAACCGAGTCTTTACAAACGAAGTACAAGTCAGGGTAACAGAGCCCCGTGCAGCAATTTTCCTGCTCAGAAAGGCTTAACTTTGGTAGTTGGGGGGTGGGGGAGGCTCAGGAACACTGGCTCAGCAAAACGGTAGCAAACTCAGGCCACAAATGGTACTACAGGGCCGTCCCTGAGATGTCACCCTGCAGAGAGGTGCTTAGGATAAGAAAGTCTTCCCGAGAAAATGCACGGCCTGAAGCTCAGCTTTAGGAACCGTGGGCAGGTGGCAGAGGCTGGGGCGCCCTGCGGGGGTGCAGGTCCAGGAGGCCAGATGCTCTTCAGCCGACAAGCTCCTTTAAGGGTCGAGGGGGGGGCGCGGGGGGGGGCGACAGGGGGGTGGGGGAGGGGAGAGCCGCTGGCCCTCGGCCCCTCGCACCGCGCGACCCCTCTCCGGGCCGAAACGGCGGTCTGCGTGGTGCAGCGGCCACTCCTCCAGCCCGCAGCCCTTGGCTCCCTTCCCCCCAAGAAGGGACTCACTGTTCCGGGGGCCACACGAGGCGCCCAGCACCCCAGCAGGCCCAGCCGTCCCGGAGCAAGGAGCCCCCAGCTCCTTCTGACCCCACCAACCCGGGGTCCTAAACTCTCGGGCCCGGAAGACAGAAACCGGAAGCCCCTCTAGCCGCCCCCCGCAAGGCTCCGCTGGGGCCCCTCTAGGAGGCAGGGATGGCCAGGTCTCGTTGGCCTTAACTCTTCGGGTCCCGGAACAGAAGGAGCGGGCGGGTGGATGTCGTTCCCTCCGCTGTTTGACGTCTGTCCACTTGATTCTCACGCCTCACGCCTGTCAGGCGCCTTATACTAGGGGCCCGATTGGAGCGAATACTTTCCCTTGCCATCAGGGCATCGTTGGCTTTAACGTCACCAGGACACGAAAAATGAATGGAGCATTTATTAAGCTCCTGTGGTTGCCACTGCCACCGCTGTGAACGGGAATATATTAGCTCTGTGTGCAACAGTTGGACAGCTAACGCATCCACCCACGCACAAAACGATTAGTTTACAAGGAGAAGGATTTAAACCTCTGGTCTTTCATTACAGAGAAAATGCGAGGCAATCCCTTCATCTCCCCCATATCGAGCCTACAAGTGTACTTAGGTCTGCGCCCCGGGCACTGTCCCCTCCTGTCACCACGGAGGGCTGGTCCACATTCAAAACGAGCCCTTTACTGGGACTCACTCTCTTTCCCAATTTCTTGGAATCCTTACACGGACAACTAACCTTTCAGTTCTACCATTTCCATCCCAAAATAGTTCTTGGGCTCCCCCCCCCCACACACACACACAACGTTTCCGTTTCATGGCTTCCTACTGAAGTTTTAACTCATGTCTCCTGCACGAAAAGCAATAAATCACTAAGATCACCATTGACCTCTGTGTTGGTATTTTTCAGTTCCTAGATCCTCCTTCAGGAGTGCTGAGGATTCTTTTCTTCCGGAAACACTTTCATTTTAACAGAGTCTTGTTAATCTTTAGTTATCTTTTACCCTATATTATATTCTTACCGTTAAAATAAATGAAGACTTTTAGAAAACAACATGGACGTACAACATCAGTGTATCATTTTTTTTAAGATTTGTTTTATTTATTTTAGAGAGAGAGGGGCAGAGGGAGAGGGAGACAAGCAGACTCCCCACGGAGCCTGGAGCCCACCTTAGGGTTCATTCCCAGGAGCCTGAGATCACGACCTCAGCCAAAATCAAGAGTCAGATGCTGAACCTCTCAACCAACTGAACCACCCCAAGACATTGGTGTATCTTATATATGGTGATAATAGAGACACTACTTTGAAGTGACACTACATCATCCTTGTCCTCCAACACCTTAGTAGTCCCAAAAGTCACTTTTGCAAGCCCAGGCTTCTCAAAATGTTGATGTTCCTCAATGCCATCCCAGGACCTCTCTCTTAACCTGAAATATCCTCTGTCTGGGCAACCTTATTCACTTCTACATCTTAAAACACCACCTATTCAGACAACTCACAAAGTTGTATCTCCAGCCCAGGCTACATTTCTGAGCTCTTCACTCTTATCACCAATGCTCTACTTGACATCTTATCTTAGAGGTCTCAGTAACACGTCAAAATCAAAATTTCAAAAGTCAAGATCTTCTCTCTCACTTTCTTCTCCCATATATAGATACAAACACAAAATAAACCTGTTCCTCTTCCAATATTCTCTCCCAATCCTCTAACCAGTTGTACAGAAGACCAGAAGCCCATTCTGTCACCTCCCTTTTCCTTGACCTCCCATATATAATCCATAAGCCTCAGGGCACCTGGGTGGCTCGGTGATTGAGTGTCTGCCTTTGGTTCAGGTCTCAGAACCCCTCCAGGGTTCTGAGATTGAGTCCCACATCAGGCACCCCACAAGGGAGCCTGCTTCTCCCTCTGCCTATGTCTCTGCCTCTCTCTGTCTCTCATGAATAAACAAATATTTTTTTAAAAATCCATAAGCCTCCTCTGTTATATACTTCACACAGAATTCTCAAATCCAGATACTTCTTCCAACCACTTGGGCCACCCTCAATTCAGACAACCATCACCCTCACCTGTAAGATTTCTGTAGCACACTAACAATCCTACAGATGGCCATCATTGCCCTTTCTCACCCAATCTCTCCAATGAGTTCAGAGTGTTCTTTTGCAAAGATAGATTTGAATCTGTCACCTTTCTTCATCTAGTCAAAGCCTATCCATCCTTAGACTTCAGCTCCTGTATCACTTCCTCACAAAGCTCTCCACGTCCTTCCTGACAGGGTCAAATCCCCGTTATATGTCCTTTTAGCACCGCATTTCTCTCCATTTTAGCCCATCTATGACTGCAACTTTATATTTACTTGCATGATTGTTATTTTGTCAAGATCCATGAGGGCAGAGTTCATCGCTGTTTTTGCTCAACTTTCTATCTTAGATCCTAGCACAGTATCTGACTCTAACAAATATTTGTTGAGAGCCTACTATATGCCTATTACTGTATAGTCTTAGGCACTGAGGATTTAACAGTACACAAAATAGTGTGGGAGAGACCATCAATAAGCAATACAACCATGTCTATTTATCTATATTTCTCCCCGCCCCCCCCATGCCGAGGAAGGTGTATTATTTAGGGTGGTCATGAATGTTCTCTCAGATAAGGAGATACTTCAGCAGAAATCTGAAGGAAGAGAAAGCAAACTCCAAACTGTTATCTAAGGGAGGAGCAATTAAGACAGAGGAACAGGAAGGGAAAAGACCTTGAGATGGGAATGTGCCTGACATGCTCAAGAAACAGTAAGGAGCAAAATAGGTGAGATGAACAATGATAGGAAATAGGTCAGAGAAGCCAGCCCCCTTGTCCATGACTGATGAACACAGAAATGCGTCACTCAGATTCCTTTTAGGAAAAGACTTGTTAGGGCACCTGGGTGGGCTCAGTCAGTGAAGTGTCCAACTCTTGATTTTGGCTCAGGTCATGATCTCAGGGTTGTGAGATTCACCCCTATGTCAGGCTCCGAGCTGGGCATGGAGCCTGCTGAAGATTCTCTCTCTCTCTCTCCATCTCCCTCTGCCCTTTCTCTCTCCTCCCCCTTAAGAAAAAATAAATAGAAAAGCCTTGTTGTCCAACTTCTGGGAGTGCTATGAGCAGAGAGCTCTCAGCTGTCAGCCCCCCTCAGGGATTGCCTCACTTGCAGAGAACAGCCTCTCCCAAAGTCACACTCTTCCAAGGTAGCCCACTACAATGACTGAGGCAGAAGTCTAAAATCCTGGACCGTTGCACCCAAAGCAGACAACTCTTATGAACAAGTCCTCAGTAGGGTGGATAGAAGAAGCTGTAGTCAGCCTCCAGCCACAAGCAAAACTCCCCTTGGGTTCTTGCCTTCCATTTCACATCTGAGACTGGATTTAAGAATGAATAAATGAGTGAAGTTGCTCATCAGATGAGCAAAATGTATTGCTCAATTGTATTGCATCCTTATATTGTAGTAGGCTGTGTAGATATCTGACCCCCAGGGTAGCAGGTGAGCTGAGCACAGAATCCTGTCTCATTCTGACTTTCCAAGCACATAGCACAGAGTAGGAGCCAATGGATATTGAATGCTTTAATAAACTCCTAGGATACAAGGTTTGGAAGGCAATTGGGGTATTTCCTATTGCAGAGCTGGGAAAAATTCATCAAGTCCTTTTATTTCTCCTTCCACTTCCCTTGGGTTTGTTGTTGTTGTTGTTGTTCTTTCATGCATTTATTCAACAAATGTTTGTGCCACCCACTATTGACTTCCTTAGAGGGCCCTCATGAGCAGGGGTTGGGATAGTTTGCCCTCACCCCTGGCTGGCTAATACAGGGCACTAGCAGAGGGAGCCTCTGCCCTTCTCCACCACGGTTGTTTCCAGGCATCCATGTCACTCAGTTGCAACTGTCCCTACTTGGGTTCTCTGGGAGTGTTTACAGCCTCACATTACAGACTACCTTACTTATAGTTGTTTAAACCATAAGGACTTTATTATTCACTTAAGAAATGTCTAAAGCAGGCGGTACTGGGATAGGTTAAGCAGCCCAAAAATTCTCCTGTGTCTAAGAAAGGGGCTTGGTACTTGCTGTAAATGGAGTTACATCCACTCAAAATTCATATGTCGAAGCCCTAACCCTTAACGTATTGGTATTTGGCCACAGGGCCTTTGGGAGGCAATGACTTTTAGAGGTGGTCATGAGAGTGGGGTCCTTATAATGGGGTTATTAGTACCCTTGTAAGAGTAGACCACAAAGATCTTATTATCTCTCCCCACCATGTGAGGACACAGTTGGAAGGCAGCTGTCCCAACAAGCCAGGGAGAGAGCTCTCACCAGAAGCCCACCATGCTGGTGCCCTGATCTGACTTCCAGGCTCCAGAACTACGGGAAAATAAATGTCTGTTGTTTAATCCATCCCAGTCTGTGGCATTTTGTTATGGTGTTCTTCTATTTGAGCTGACCAGTATAGTACTGAGCTGATGATGTGCTCGTAACAGCTTGCACGAAATTGTCAGTTGTCGGGTTTTACTCTTTGCGAGGGTATTTGCGTTTTAAAAGGGAAGGTGGTTAGAATGATGAAATCACTAACTGGCAGGTGCTGCAAGGCCAAGTTGTGAGGGGCAGTGTGATGTCCTAATCAGCAAATTATTTGCCTCACCTACAAGATCTATGACCCTTTACAAAGAAATTGGATTTCCCTAAGCCTCAGTAACTTGCCGAAGTGTGAGCGATGCCCATCTTCCCCAGAGTTCTGAGAATTATTTTCATGACTTTCAGTGGTAGGCTTTCTGGTGCTTTCAGCAGATCTCTGGCTCCTTGTCTTCTCTTCATCATCTTCCTTTCTAATTCTCCCTCTATTACTTGGCCTGGGGGTGTATAGAGAGAAATGTTACTGCAACAATCACAAATCCTCGGATCTTTGCACTTAGTCAATGCCTCCAGGATGGAGTCAAACAGAGCAGAGACTTGGCTTAGAGAGAAAGTATGGACTGACACAGAGCACCAAAAGTATCAGAGGTCCAAGAGCCATCCATACATGATGCATAGGTTTGCCTGTGTTGGAACTGATACCAAGGAGTGTCTAACATCTTTTTCAA